TTGGCTGTGTTGCTTTAAGAGCCAGAGAGAGAGAAAGAAGAGGGGGGGGAGGCTGTTTGTTTTAACCTTTTTTTCTCTGTTTAGAATTCCACTTTGAGAAGGGTGGGGTGGATTGCAATTTTTTTTACTCGAAAGAGGAGACAGTAATTGTTGGACAATTTTTTTGGGCGGGGGAAATTGTTGAATTTAAATTGTTTAGTTAGACCTATATATCCATCAACCAAAAGAAGTGACTTTGAATTGTTTTGATTAGATTTATAAATGTTTAACCTACTTAATGAAAAATTGTTTCCATCTGAATGGAATTTGATTAAAAATTGGAATTTGACTAATTTTATATTAAAACCAATACTAGAGTTTGATATAAATCTATTTCAGTAATTCAGAATATCTTATTAAGTTTTTTTTTTTTGTGAAGTTAAAATGAAGAAGTTGAAAAAATTTTGGGATTATCAATAGCTATGTTGTTTTTTTGTTTTTGTTTTTTTATAATAAATTTTTTATTAATTTTTCAATTAAAAACAAAAACATAGATCTTTTATCACAATATCAACCAAAAAGAATAACACTAATCAATACATTCACGGACGTGTCCGGTGTCCCCCCCCTGCACCGCCCTCTTCCACTTACCACACCTTCCTCCTCCCAAACTACCACCACTCCTCCTTCCTCCCTCTTTCCTACCTCCCTTCCTCACTCAACCATCCCGGGCACCACCGGACACCTCCTTAAAAAGTCATACATATATGTACATATAAATCTATAATACAAACCTACCCCTTTCCCCCCTCCCCCCCAGGACTTCCCAAAGCTAATCTAGGAAATAAACACACAATACTCAAATTCTATCCCCAACTACTCATTATTACGACACACTAGTATAAACTTACTGTGACTCTAAAATAACATTAAAATACATACAAATTTTTTTTAAAATATATCAATATTTGTTATACATATTTTTGTTTAAAATTTTTAATCAAAAGCTACATGATAATTTTTCAATTCATACTTTCTCTGAATATAATCTATCCATCTTCTCCACATTGAGATAAATTTCTCCTGAGAATAGCTATGTTGTTTTGACTAAAGATTTGTATGCAAAACTGTTAGAAAAAGAGTTTATGTTAACAAATACAAACACAGTTTGGTGACTGTTCTTTTGTTGGCTCTTCACTAGGTAATTTGTTTGTAAATATGGGCAAAGGACTTGCTTGGAGGAGGTTTTGACTCAGAACTGGGGGAAAAGAGGCTGCCAGTGGCATTTTTGCCTAAAATTGACATTTGGGGCTGTCTTGGTGGTTAGCATTTCTTATCAAGTGTGGGCAATTTTAAATCAGAAAGCCAACAGGAGGTATACACTTGTAGATAGCAGATGTATTTGTGGGGAAAAAAAATGTTAGACCAAAGTGGTGGAAGAGAAGTGAAGGAATGGATAATAGAAAAAAGAAACAGGAAAGTTGTTTTAAGTGGGTGTGTGCACAGACTTGTGAATTACATGCATTAAGCAGGGAGACTGCCATTAACGTGGTCAGCCCAAACGCGTGAATTGTATGCCTTAACACAAGCCTTAGAATGTTGAAGGAACAAGAATGTACTAAAGATGGGAGGTGGATGTTGCAAGATTGGAGGGTGTTGAAAAGAGAGAGAGAGAGAGAGAGAGAGAGAGAGAGAGAGAGAGAGAGAGAGAGAGAGAGAGAAAGCAATAGCTAGGACACAGAAGCAGCCACTGAAGGGGAGTCGCAAGGGATAATAGATACTGTTTTTTTAAAAAAAAAACAGGAAATAAAACGCTTTACAACATTTAGCAGTGAGGCTATTTCAATATAGGCCTCAATTGGAAAGCTCTTTTTGTCCCTTTGAAATGATGTATGGGAGGCTTTTGTTACATGAAGGTTCAAGAATGTCAATGAAGAAGAGAAGAAAGTTACTCAGTATTTACATAATCTGGCGCAGGTTTTGTCTTCTATCTCAGTACAGGCCCAGGCTGCCATACCACCTGTCTCTGGCCATTGTTGTTCCTGGAAAGTGGGTTCAGGTGAAAAGAACTGTCACCTAGAAATACCAGTCCTCAGTGGTCTCAACCATGCCAGATCCTCCTGATTTAAGGAATCAAGGCGTGAGTCCATGGAAAGTCCCATCATATCCTCTCCAGTGACAAGCTCCGCAGCTGGACGGCCTGAAAATGAAATTTCAACCTGCCTCACCTGTTGAACTGTTTCCATCTAAGTGGGAGAAGAACCCCAATGGATTGGAGTACCGTGGAAATCGTGTTCCTAGAACCTGGACTATGTATTGCAATATTTTTCTTCTGCTACTGTTGTTTCCCTCATACCTTCTTTGGTAGAAGGAAGGACCATAGGCCCAATAGTTTAAGGAACAAATGGGAGTTGTGTTTATCACAAGACTACGTATTCCACTTGCAAAGGGGCAACAGGGTCACTTGTTATGCTCCTGTCAAAACAGTGCAGCTTTACCCACAACTTTAAATCTGGACATATGGAAGAACATACAGACATTACCTTTTGGGGAAGAATAACACGAGATTTATGGACAAGTGCCAGAATCTT